CTGAGGACATTTTCCTCTTCTTTCTCTTCCACAAAGGCCAAGAGTTTATTTGCTGCTTTTATAGTGTTTGGGTTTCAGTCAGATTATGAATCAGGGAGTGATTTACATACGTTGCCAAAATAGGCCGATCTCAGTCGTAAAATAAGCTCAGCACCGGAACATGGAGATCAACCTTTGTGGCTTCCAGAGAAACATTTTCTATTGCTTTGTAGTACAAAAGCCATTTCTACAAATAACCCGTGAGTCAGTCTGTGAGCAGTTCTATGAAAACATTAGCATGACCTGAAAGGGGGCTTTGATGAGACAGCTACAGACGCAATGATGGGCAGAGATGTAACGCATGGTTTGAGCAATACACATGGTGCCTCTGGTACATACAAAGTAAGCAGGATTTACATTGCACTGATTGTAAATCTATGTTTAGCAGCACAGAAGAGAAACACACATGAAAATGAGCACGTACACATGTAGATATACATTCCACTGCAATGGCTGGACTACATGTTGACAGTATTCCTGCCACTCACAGTCTTTCAATATGTGTCTCTTCCATGTGGCTGCTGTAGGTCAGCATGACCTTCCTCTAGCCTGCAGAGGGCAAAGGATGACGTGTGGGTGTGTGTGTGGGTGGGTGGAAGGCAGAGAAAGAAAAAAAAAATCAAAATTCATAAAATATAAAAAGGCCATAAATGAATTCAAATGCAATCTGAAGGCTGGACATTGACAAACTGTTCTGGAGCCAGAGTTCATCCGAGGAGGAAAACAAAGCTGTAAATAGGTCGTCACAGAATGTTCCTCCAAACTTGCCTGCTACAGATTTTCCAAAACCCTCCCAGAGTGCATGCAACCCATGACGTAAAGGTGCACTCGCCGGCTTTACATTTGTTAATGCTTTGTTGTGTTTTGCTGTAGGAAAGTTTCCGCCATTTCTCTCATTTATTCTCGTGTTTGGAGGTCTGTTAATCTGTTTGGAGCCGTCCGTGCTGTTTATAGTAGTCTGGTTAGTGTGAAAGTCAGGTGAAATATTGCTCACACGTCTTCTTTTCCTTGCATAATTCTGTTTCCTTCTTTGGTCCATCCACTTCCCGCCCTCGTTTATGTTCTACCCCTACCCCCACAACTCTCTCTCACTCTTTCCATATCTTTGCTGGTGTTGCTTTTGCTACACTCCACAGTGCAGAACAGCATCCTTCACAGTTTCTGTAGGAACAGGTTAGAAGCCCGGGCTTCATGGGTCTTGTTGAAACCAGAGTTTACACTCCTCTCAGAACCCAGAGTGCAAGCTTAACGGAGAGAAGGCCCCCATGGTCCTTTTCAGTGCCTCTTCTTTCCTTTGGTATGGGAAACTGCTTAGACTGGCCTCTGAGAACGGTAAGCCTGTGCTGCTTCACTCTGCCTTTCTCAGCTTCCTTCATAGCTCTTGTACTAGCTACAGTAGCACTTGCAACTTGGAAGCAGATGTACTGCTGCATAGGTGGTGCATAGTTTTCTGCAGTTGTTTCTGTTTATTTTATTGCAAAAGCTCATGGTAGTGCAAGAAGCATGCACCTAATTATTAATTAGATGCATACTCATTTTAGCCCCCCCACCCCTCCACACACACACACACACACACACACACACACACAGAAAAAACAAAAGAAAGAAAAAAGAACAGAGTTTGATGTTTAATTCTGCAGATGTGCGTGCACTGCACTGCTTTGTAACCTTGCTCTGGAGTATAGTTTGTTAAACTCAAGTCAGGTTGATGGTTTCAGAAACTTGCGGATCTTTGTTACCATCCAGAACTGCTTTCCTGTAGAAGACATGATGTCACGATGTCTGTCCATGATCAGTATACGTGTAACCTCTTCCCCGGTGCTTTCACTTGCCTTTTCTCTGCGTCTGTGTGTGTGTTTACTGTTCCAGTGACACTGTATAGGTGTGAGGTGCCAGTCCGTAAAATGTGGCGAGTAAACTGTTATGAACGATGAGTGGAAAGTTGGCAGCATGCTGGTTTATTGATGTATTTACCTTTCAGTCGTGTCTTCATATTTTCCACATTGTTTCTATTGCATACACACTTCCACCCCACCACACACACACACACACAGGCAGTGATATATAATTCTTAGATAGTATTATTCTACTCTGCAAAGCTCAGCTGTGTCATCCCTCAAAGTATGCAGGAGGTCTACAGTGACTTTCTCATGTGAGCTCACGATTCCCCTCTCAACTTGTATCTTTGTTCCATTCTGCTGTGTCTCTGCACCCCTCTGGAAAGATGCTCCAGGATGCTGAGCGGAGAGTCAGAGTGGTGCTGTCCTGTGAGGAGATGGGCCAGTCTGGGTATCTTGGGTCTTATCAGGACTCCATTGTTTCGGTGACACAAAACTGCGTTCTCGTGAGCAACATACTGGGACAATCCTGTGTAAAGGCACGGCAAAGTGCAGGCAGGCTGTACGTAAGTCTGGACAAAAAATTCTCTTTAATGACTCCTTCCTGTCAGAGAAGCTGTCATTTCTGCAATTATTAAAGAAGCTGCGACTTTATTGTACATCATTTTCAGCTATAAGCTTGGAATTCACTGGTGAAGAAGAAGGTC